GTAGGTAAAATATACAGGCTTCCCAAGCAATATTACACTGATTTATATCATCGATCCTGTTAAAACCGAGATTAACGGTCCCTTCTACCTATAACAGAAGATATTGGTTTCTACTGCCATTTTTGGAAGCATCTCTGGTCCATAGACATATTCCTCCTCAAAAATCGACATTTGGATGAAGTCTCATCATTGGGATCGTTTGTGATTCTCACAGTAACTGGGAAGTCACTTTTGACAGTTGCCTTGGATACCATCGTCGTGTGTATCCTTACTTTGATTCAGATTTCTTTTCCGGTCGTTATTTTCCTTTAAGTTGCAGTTCAAATCATCATTCTGTTATTTGTCTTGGTGGGAAGTCAGCTTTCGACACAACTTACATTCTCAAACGACAGAATAAGTTACATTATCTACTTCGAGCTTAATATCAAGATCTGTCAGATCGGTTCTATTTAATAATAGCTCTGGCAAGCCAAAATTGTCGTTCTATATTACTCATTGTTCTGTACCATTCCAAAGCTTTTCATGTAGCAGTACTCATCTTTATAACACTTGCGTTCGGCATTTGTCCTCAGTTGGCATCTAAGCTTTAGAGTGTATAACCAGTTCGATCATATTCTTAATTAGGGTGGCAGCTTCGAACTAAACTACAATACTCATTGCAGATGTACTTTGAGACCATTGCTTTCGGTAGGCTTTGGTAATTGCATCCGATGGTTCATCGAATTTCTGTAAAAATCGTTTCAGACGATTACGATTCTTTTTTTGGCACGAATTCTATCTTACAAGTGAACATTCATAACTGATAAACACCACTCAAGACCGTGCTTCGCTGGCGGCTGAAGATCATCATGTATGCAAATTATCAAAAAGGATCCGTGCCATTACTACTAGTTTCAAAGCGATGAAAAGGAAAAAGTATCATGATAAATAGTGCCACTTTCCTGTTTCGTTTATATTTTTTGTCATAAGTTAAATAAGACATGCATTTTTATACCGAAAATTTGATCACTAACTTATCTTTTTTTACATTATTTACTCTTAAATTTTTTAGTTAAATCTAGTTTTGTGTCCAATAAAGAGACAATATTTTATTTCCAATTTTTTATAGACATTTTTATTATTTCCAAGGTCAAGCCTAATGAAGATTGTCATGGTCGTCTTTGATTTCATGAAGAGGAAACGAAAATTAAAATGGAAAAAACAGTTGTAGAATTTTTCTTTTCACAAATAACTGGAAAAGTATATAAAGAAAACAAGTGCTAAAGCTTGTCAGAGCAGCTCCTTTCGAGCTGACATATGGAACTCACGTATGTGCTTTCGAGTTGTTATCCTAATGCATTATTTCTAAACTGAAAAATAGTTTTCTTTTCGAATAATTATGAATGCATTAGAAAATTGTATAGAATCTGAATTGTGCACGGTTGCTGAGGTCTGGAATAGTGGCCTGTCTGTAATGGGGTGGGAGGAGAAGAGCAGGAAAACCTTGGACTTAAAACTTACACTGGCTAGTTTCTTGGAAAATATGTGTGAGTTCCACAATAAAATAAACGTTCCAGGGAAGGTATCGATTAATGTGTTATATGAATGATATTTTTGAAAATAGGTGTATGAAAAAACAACTTCAACATCAAAAATAAAAACTTTTAAAATGGAGTAAGATACAACAAGAGTGTTCTGTTTTCTGCAGTGTAATGAATGATACTATTTTTGACGACAATACGTAATATTTTGTTTGTTTATGATAAAAGAATAATTAACAAAACTTCAGTTTTGTCTCGTTTGCAAGCAAAGTCAAGTTCAACTTGGAATCCATGAATCAATAGTCATATGCACGATAATTGAGTAATTAAGTTTTAAAAGGCAAAAGAAATATTTACTAACTTAAACAAGACACGATAAACAAACTCCAGACCTTGTCTGTCACGATCCGTGGAGAGGAAAGGAAGGTAGATCCAAATTTCTACCACTAAAGAGTTCAACATTCATTTCAGATCTTATTTGACAAAATTGATTCTTCTATGAGGAAGCTTCAAGCTTTTAAGAAAGTCCGTGAGATGATCGAGTACCGTAGCAGATATCGAACTACTGGATAAAATCTTGACTTTTTTTTTTATGTTCTCATTTTGTTCAGCATCATCTAAAACCTTTCAATCCAAAATTTTAGAGCATTTGGTTGAGCCATTGAAAAGTTAGCTCGATTGCACCTGTCGGGGGAGAGGGTAAGAGCCCTGGTTGAGGAAAACCATAAAAAATCCTGCATAGAAAGTTAAGATTCTTTTAGATGGCAATAATTTAATGAAATTTTTCGTGTAATATACCACAAGATACAGCTTCGAACGCTGAACAAAATCATCTTTTAATTTGTTAGGTTTCCATGGACTAATCGAGAGTTATCCATGAAATACTACTATCTGATTCATTATTTTCGAATGGAAAAATGAGTCGGTTTTTGAGCAATATATTACACTGTATTAGCTCCCATTTAGTCATTTTAAGAGATCTCACGCTGAATCTTTTACATGTTGTACAATTTTGTTCCTCTACAAAGGTCATATGAAGTGAGCCAAAGTTGGCGTAAGCCTAAGTGGAGTCCATTAGTCCATACTATACCCATTTCAAATATATGGTACTCTGATACCGGAAGTGCCATTCCCATAACAGAACAACAATACTCACAACCCGGAAGTACCATTCCCATAACAGAACAATAATAC